TGTCTTCTCTTCCTTAGCAGGCCTTTCCCATCTGAGAGCCCCAACTCCTGCTGCTCTCTCCACTGCAAGTGACATCCCCACTCGTGTCTACCTGGCAGGCATGTCATCATTCCATGTCCTCTTCCAATGCCGCCTCTTCCATGAAGCCTTCCAGGGGTGCCCAGTGATTCCCTCTTGGGCCCCCTCCTTATAGCTGCTCAAAAGCTCACAGTCGATGCTCTGTCCGTCCTATTACAGCCTCCTCCAGACCGAGTCAGTCCTGAGGGTTGATTTATCTGGTTCCTCATGATTCGTCTAGTACAGGACAAGGCACAAAGTTTGTGTCCACTGAACATTGAACATGTACTGAACTGGCTGGAAAAATAACATGTGAACAAAGGTTAGGCTGAAAGATTGAGTTGTGATAGATGGCAAGCTCTGTGAGAGAAAGAACTCTTTTGACCTTACCCATGTTGGCATTTCCTGAGTCTACACTGTGAGCTAAGCACTTCACCACTGTTAACATTAAACCCTTACAGCAACGGCGCTTTAATAGCGAGTAAAAATCCTCCATCTAATTAGTTCCTAGCATGTGCCAGGCCTTGTTTCTGTAAACATTTTACATGACTGATCTCATTTAATTCTCACAACAGCCCCAGTTTTTAGATGAGAAACAGAGGCCCAGAGAGGTTAAGGTATGCACACCCCCATTTTACAAGTGAGGAGAGGAGGGCTCTGAGAGGCCATCATACCCACCACCTTAGATAAGCAATGGCAGTGATGGGGAATTTGAGCCTGGATCTTTCCGATCCCTTGACCACCAGACTCACTGTTAGGCTTTGCGGGTCCATCAGCCAAGTCACTTTTGGGCCGGCCCAGACATGGCATCTGGCTCCCTCCAAGAGCTTCCAACTGTGCACCCCTCTCCCCCATTCCCTCCAGGTGTTCTGTGACATGGAGGCCAGTGGAGGTGGGTGGACCGTCATCCAGCGCCGTGAGAACGGCAGCGTGAATTTCCAGCGGAACTGGGAGGATTACAAACAGGTAACACTGCTGCCCTGAGGAGGAGCTTTTCAGTCCTGAAACATGGGGCGGGGCTGGGTTGTTGGCAGGGACTGGTTTGCTGTCGCTCTTTCCCAGAAATAAATCAGCTCACGTAAAGCTGACCACCTTCAAACAGATTTACCCAGTGCACACTCGCTTTCTGGGACTCCGTCACCTGAAATTGAACCCTCTTTTTGAAAGTTTTCACATATGTCCTACAAATGAAAGTTTAACTTCATTTTAATATTAATTTTTGGAAAACATAATACATATACATTACTAAAAAAAAATGTTAAGAATACAAAAGAGAGGACAGAAAAAAACCTCCCCCACTGACCCCTGACTGCATGGGTTAAATGAATTTCCTTGTCTTTTTACATATGTGTGACCACACCTGCAGAAAACATTCTTTAATGTGGAATTGCTGGCTCAAAGACCACACGCATTTTAGGAGATGAGAAATAGTGCTCATTGTCTTCCAAATTTTTAATTAAAGTTTGAGTAAAGGATTTGAGGAAAGCTGACTTAAAAGCTCTTAACATTTCTGAAAGCAAAAAAGAAAAAGAAAATGATGCCCACAAAGTAATACAGCAGTATTATTGTGTCTGCTTGCTGTTCTTTTGATAAATACTTAAAAATAAATACCAAATAAATTATGAGTACTCTTGATGCAATTAAGTTTTAAAAAATCATTAAAATGGCAAAGAGAAGTAGGATGCTCAGATGCAGAAATGCACAACAGAGTGCTGAGTGGTGACCATTAGGCTCATCAGCAGCAGACCATGACTGGAATGGGGAGCAGGGCTCAGGCGTGCCCCTGTCCTTGGTGCTGAATTGTTTTTCTGACCCGGGATATGGTGACAAGACACTACCAGCGCTCTTAGCCTTACATTTCTATGCTGCTGACATTCTGCGGTGGCTGCCCTGTCACTGAACAAAGTTTACGCTCCCATTCAAGGAACTGATTGAAATATTTTCTTTAATTTCCTGATCGGGTGTAATACACATGCTAAGTACACAAATTTGAAGGGTAAGGCTCGGTGAATTTTGACATATGTATTCACCCACATGACCACCATTCAGAGCAAGATGTACAAAGCTTCCAGCAACCCAAAGTCTCCCTTGTGACCCCTCCCAGTTAATACTCCACGAAAGGTAGTCGCTGTTCTGGCTTCTATCACCACATATAAGTTTTGCTTGATCTTGAGCATCAAAGAAATGTGATTTCAATTATTTTTAACAGGCTTTTACATTTACAAAAGTCTTAGTCTTTTTCCTCTAGGAGGTGTGGGGCTCTTGCCCCCGGGCCTGCCCACACTGGACTTCTGAACTTGATCATTAGGCACAGTGGTTTTGGATAAGCGACCCTGGAGCCTGTCCCAGCCCAGCTCCTGAGCCAGTGGAGTAGTCCCCCTCCTTGGCATGCAGCCCACCCAACCCTCCCCTCCTTGTAGGGTTTCGGAGACCCAGCCTGGGAGCACTGGCTGGGCAATGAGGTGGTGCACCAGCTCACCAGCGGGGCAGCCTACTCTCTGCGCGTGGAGCTGCAAGACTGGGAAGGCCGAGAGGCCTTCGCCGAGTATGAGAGTTTCCAGCTGGGCAGCGAGGGGCAGCTGTACAGGTGAGATCGGGCCCAGGCCGGTGGGTGGGCTACAGTCCCACAGGGGGTGACTACAGAGTCTGCACCAAGGTTCAGTCCCTGGGTATCTCCTGTTTCTACCATCTGTCTCCCATTTGGGTGCATGTCACCAGATCTGGAGGTGGCTGGTTAGCACTCAGCACATCCTGCCTTCAGGGTGGGGTGGAGAGAATGTCACTGATGCCAACAGCCCAAGAGGAGGAAGGGGCCTTCCAAAGTCAATCACCACAAGTCAGACATTTTACAAAGAACTAAAATCAAAGAGGTGATTTTCCCAGCCTGCCTTATGCCCTGGGTGAGGTGGAAATGTCCCCGGGCTGGTAGTTGGGAGACATGGGCTCATTTTGGCTCTGCTCCAGCTTGCACTGTGAACTTGGGGAAGTCAAGCTCTGGCTTCTCTGTGCCTCTGCCTCTTCAACAGCAGCATGAGTTTAAATATGAGGATAGTGTAGAATCATCCCAGTTTCCCACCCCGTCCTCAGTCAGGTCCTTGGTGTGTTTAGGAAAAAGACAGAGCATTTGTTGAGCACCTACTATGTTCCAGGCACAGCACTCCATTAAATCCTCCCCACAACACCTTCAGGCAGATATTACTGTACCTGCTTTACTAATATGGTAACTGAGGCACTGAGCTTAAGGGCCTAACCAAAAGGAAGCATTAGAATTCAGGTCTCCCTGTTGCCAAAACTCGCGGTGTCTCCCCATCATGACGTTACCTCTCTGAGATACTCAAGGATCTGAAGATAACCCTGGGGTCTGCCTATCTCTGCGTCAGGGTAGAATTGGATTTATAGACACTTACGGGGCTGAAGAGGACCTCAACATGTCATCTGGTTCTTTATATGATGCCAGAATCTCCTCCACAGCCACAGTCTTCATTCAAACCTTGATGGAAATCTCCTCTCATGGGGAGATCACTTCTTCCCAAGGAATCTCTGAATGTCTTTCTATCCCCCTGCACTTAATCACTTAATATCTAATTCCACTTCTGATGAACTCTCTGTGATGTGCCTTCCCTTGTGTCCCTCCCAGTCAATACTGTTACTAAATGCCCCTGCTTCCTGCAGCTAGGAGACATCACACGTCTTGATAGGACCCACCCCAATCTGATAATCCTCCTTAAAGTGCAAGGTCCAGAGCTAAACAGAACATGCCCTGGGTCTAGTCTAGACAGGGCTGAGATGGATGGCCCCTACTCCTCCCAGCTGACCAGTGAGTAGCCACGACATCTGGATGTCTCCTATTTAGGCCACTGAACACCAAAGCAAAGGCTCAAGCCCTGACTCCATCCCCATCTCCATGAGTGATTCTGAGCTCGTCCCTCTACATTTATGTCTGTAAAATGGGTGTCCTAGGCATACCTACATCATTCAGAGCATCTTGAGGCTTCAATGAGATACCGCACATAAAGTGTTAACACACCGCCTGGCACGTGGCAAATGCTCCACAAACGATATTGCATCCACTGTCCCCAGGCAGCCCTTCACACCCTTGGGTGGCCTGCTCTGTGTGAGCCAGACCCAGGCCTGTCTTGTCAGTGCTTTTCCCATCCCTGGTGCCTGGAACGTGTACATGCATGCGAGGAAGCTGAGGGAGCCTCCCAAGTCTTTCCTACACATGTAGCCACTAAGTCTCATCTCCCTGACCCACTTCCTGGGCAGCAACTTCTGTGGCCCTAGTCCAGGATCTGCCATTTGTCTGGATGAGGAAATATCGGGAGAAGTTGTTTCTCGCTGCACTAAGGAACACAGGTCCTGGATCCAGACCGCCTGGATATGAATCCCGACTCCATCACATATTGGCTTCATGACCTTAGTTTAGACAAGTTATTTAGCCTCTCTGTGCCTCAGTTTCCCCATCTGTAAAATACAGTATCTATGTCATAAATGGGATAATCTCAGTAAGGTACCTAGCATACAGGAAGGGTTGAATAAAAGCTAGAAATATACAAACTATATATTCGAAGAAGAAATACAACATTTCAGCATCTACGAATACACTGTATATTATTTATGTCCATGTATACAAACATACACATATGTGTTAAATTTGGAGCCCTGTGCCATGCTCTGATATGTGAATCTGATCTGCTCCCTCTGGTTTTTAGCTGAGTCATTGAGAGAGCTCCCTGCCCACAGCTCCAGAGTGTCATGCCCACGCACCAAAGGTCCCACGTTTACTTGACCCTCTTCAGAGCACTAAATAATAACAGTACATTGAACACTTGCCCAATTGCAGGCACCCGCTGGCAGTGCTCATTGGGAGTAGAATAAACATGGGCCCTTCCCCCCAAAGCTGTTCACAGCCCAGTGTGGTCTGTGTCTGTCTGGAGGTGGGCATTTCTACCACAGGTAACCCCACACCCCAGGGAGACAGGAGCTGCCTACGTGGAAACAGAGTGGGCATGGAGATGCTGGTGCAAGCAGAGAGGACTCCATGGAGGAGGGGATGCCTGTAATGAAGGGGCGTTCTTCAGACAAAGAGAGAATAGGAAGGTCACCCCAGGCAGTGAGGATTTTCTGAAAATAGACAGAGAGAGATGGCCTCCAGCTGGGCCAGACATTCCCCAAACCTGAGCCAGACTCTATCAAGAGCTGCACGGATCATTATGAAGTGTCTACAAATTCAGGAAAACCCCAGGAGACTTGAGGTGCATTTCCTGGAAACCACAGCGGGGGCTGGAAACTGCAAGAGGAGTGCCAAGGGGAAGTGACAGAACAGACATTGGTCCCTGTGCCCCCACCCTACAAGGTCAACTGGCTGGTGAGGTGGGGAGTGTCCCCACAAGGAATCCCATAGGTCAGGATGGGTGGGCTTTCAGCAGCTGGGGAATGGACATTGGGGAAGGAAGGGCACCCTTATTTGTCAGAGGCAGTCATGGGACCTTCTGGAGTCCAGCTAGGGTACATGCACAAGCCTGCAGAGGAAGTGGCCCACATGAAGGGATGAGGGGAGGCACAGACAAGACACAGGCACATGTGCATACAGGGCACATACCTCCCAGAGGTGCCCCCACACCCAGACCCAATTACAAGTGCAAGATACATGCACAGATACACAGCGACACACGCAGACAGACACGTACTGTAGAGGGGCTCGCCACACCACTGGGGTACATGCTTAGTCCTACAGAGCACACACACACCCCAAGTGCAGAACTACACAAACAAGCACATACCAAGCACAGACATGTGAGCAAACGTGCCTCCCAGATGCCCCTGCAGGTAAACACGTGCACATAATACCGGACACAAAGACTCCAGAGCGCAAACTCGGCCCCACCGTAGATACTGCAGCAGCAACTCAAAACCTACACTCATCCTCACGCAGGCAAGTGCCTCAATGCAAATCCTCACAACTGCAGATGCACAGACTTACATATAGATCCATGGACACAGAAAACACACCTCATATGTGTAACTTGGGATCCCCAGGAGACTCATGTATTTCTTCGGGTTTCCTCAGGCCTGAGCCATGAACGAGCTTAAAATGCATCTGAATAATGGGTCAGGTGGGGTTCCTGGTCCACAACATGGGTGCCCCCCAGAGGTCTCCACTCTGCTTCCAGAGGGGAAGGGAAGAGAGGTAGAGCCTGTACTAATGACTTGGGGACAGTGCAGAGGCCGGCGCTGCTGGACTGAGCCCATGAGATCAATTGCCTTTGTGCAGCCCTGATTCCACCCACACCCGGACTGCAGGTGAACCCAAACAGACTAAGCCTTGAAACTGACCTTGAGCTGACATCGCTGAGCCCTCAAAGGGAGCCACAAGGAGAAGCCAGGACCACATGAATACCTGGGCCGGCCTGCCTGTCCCCACCCCAGGGAGCTCTGGCCAGGCAGTCCTCTTTGCAGGTGGTTTGCACCAGAAGCCATGTGAGCTCAGGATGGCACAGGTATGGGCACAGATAAGCCTTCACGGATGGTCACAGCCATCTGGACCTGGAGGGCCATGCCCCACCTCACCACAGACAGACAGAGCATATGGGTGAGAGGTGTGGGGACTGAGTGCCACATAGGCAGGCCCCACGTTCCCTCTGGACACCTCTGGGGGAATCTCCCAGGCCCCGCTCTGGTCACATCTGCCATCCACTTGCTCCTTCCAGTAGGACCTTCCTAATTGCTCCCCACCCGGCTCCCACAAGGAGCCCTACGTGTGCTGAGCACTCACCATGTGCACGCTGCTCTGCTCACATCACACGCTGAGGCTGCACACAATGCATGAGGTTGTCACTGTTAGTGTCACTGTTGTCACCACTTGTACAAATGAAGAAACTGAGGCTCAGGGAGGCAAACTTCCCAAGGCCATGCAGCTATCGAGTGGCAGAGCTGGGATTTGAATGCAGGTGCTCTGCCCTCCAGATCCAATGGCCATCACCTCCATGCAGGCCTGGACATGCCCACCAGGGCCACAGAGCCTGGTAAAGAAATGTAAACCCTCACCCAGCTGGCTGCAGATATTAAAGTCACTTGGCTGGGGGTGCCCCAGGTACAGATCTATCTTGGCTGAAGACTTGTTGGAAGAGGTGGGTGGATGTGAGCAGGTGTGATGGGGCTGCGACTGCAGGACAGCCAGCTGGGAGCACAATGCACGGAGACTCCCGCGTCAGGCCACACCAGGCTGGAATCAGGCTCTGACCCGCAGTCGTTCTGAGACCCTGGGCAGGTTTCTGTGGCTATTAGGCTCGCATTTCCTCATGGATAAACTGGGAGGAACAGGGTGATGTGGGGATGAAACAAGACTGAGCTAACCCCTGCAAAGCACTTCGAACAACGCCTGGCACATAGTAGATGCTCGAAACAAATGCAGTCGTTATCCTCGTCATTGACTTTGTCCAGGTCATTCTCACTCCCCTCCAAGGCCCAGGTTCAGGGAGATGAGGGAGGCCTGGCACACNAAGAGCTGCACGGATCATTATGAAGTGTCTACAAATTCAGGAAAACCCCAGGAGACTTGAGTTGCAGTTCCTGGAAACCACGGGGGGGCGGGCTGGAAACTGCAAGAGGAGTGCCAGGGGGAAGTGACAGAACAGACATTGGTCCCTGTGCCCCAACCCCTCAGGGTCAACTGACTGGTGAGGTGGGGAGGGTCCCCACAAGGAAGCCCAGAAGTGGGGATAGGTGGGCTTTCAGCAGCTGGGGAATGGACATTGGGGAGGGAGGGGCACCCTTATTTGTCAGAGGCAGTCATGGGACCTTCTGGAGTCCAGCTAGAGTGCATGCACAAGCCTGCAGAGGAAGTGGCCCACATGGAGGGATGAGGGGAGGCACAGACAAGACACAGGCACATGTGCATACAAGGCACATACCTCCCAGAGGCGCCCCCACATCCAAACCCAATTACAAGTGCAAGATACATGCACAGATACACAGGGACACATGCAGACACGCATGTACTGTGGAGGGGCTCACCACACCACTGGGGTACACACATAGGCCTACAGAGCACACACACACACCCTGCCCCAAGGGCAGAGCTACACAAACAAGTACACCAAGTACAGACATGTGAGCAAACGTGCCTCCCAGATATGCTTGCAGGTAAACGCGTGCACATAACACCAGACACAAAGACTCCAGAGCCCACACTTGGACTCACCATAGATACTGCAGCAGCAACTCAAAACCTACACTCATCCTCACACAGGCAAGTGAGTCATATGAAAATCCTCACAACTGCAGACACACAGACTCAAGCACAGAACCACGGACATACGGAAAACACACCTTGTGTGCGTAACTTGGGATCCCCAGGAGATTTATATATTTCGTCGGGTTTCCTTAAGCATGAGCCATGAACAAGCTTAAGGTACATCTGAACCTTACCTTAAGGTCAGGTAAGGTTCCTAGTCCAACTCTTCGGCATACCCCAGAGGTCACGCATCCCCACTCTGCTTCCAGAGAGGAAAGGAAGAGAGGCAGAGCCTGTACTAATGACTTGGGGACAGTGCAGAGGCCGGCGCTGCTGGACTGAGCCCATGAGATCAATTGCCTTTGCGCAGCCCTGATTCCACCCACACCGCACTGCAGGTGAACCCAAACAGACTAAGCCTTGAAACTGACCTTGAGCTGACATCGCTGAGCCCTCAAAGGGAGCCACAAGGAGAAGCCAGGACCACATGAGTACCTGGGCCAGCCTGCCTGTCCCCACCCCAGGGAGCTCTGGCCAGACAGTCCTCTTTGCAGGTGGTTTGCACCAGAAGCCATGTGAGCTCAGGATGGCACAGGTATGGGCACAGATAAGCCTTCATGGATGGTCACAGCCATCTGGACCTGGAGGGCCATGCCCCACCTCACCACAGACAGACAGAGCATATGGGTGAGAGGTGTGGGGACTGAGTGCCACATAGGCAGGCCCCATGTTCCCTCTGGAAACTTCTGTGGGAATCTCCCAGGCCCCACCCTGGTCACATCTGCCATCCACTTGCTCCTCCCAGAAGGACCTTCCTAATTGCTCCCCACCCAGCTCCTGCCTCAGCTGCTGAGGCCAAATAACAAGGAGCCCTACGTGTGCTGAGCACTCACCATGTGCACGCTGCTCTGCTCACATCACAC